CATATGCTCCTAACTACCCTAGAATATCCAAAGAACTTACTGTGACTGTTGAACACATTAGAATGACTGTATGCTCAAAGACAGTCCACAGAATGTTATAGCATCTAAGCAAGCTTAAAAACTGCTGCTTATTCAAAGGTCACATATGGTAACTTTATGTTTATGCACGCTGTATCCCATATCAAGTTTAACATTCTCTCCAGATCCTTTATCATGCCGTTAGTTATTAAGGTGTGTTGTTGCAGTTTTACTGGACCAAACAACAATAGAAATAAACCCTTGCTCTCCTACTACAATCTCTCCCACTAAGATATTTTTAAAGAAGTCTTCTCAAACTACAGGCATAATAATCACAATAATAATGTAAAAAATTGCATTCTCCCTTTGAGGAACTTGGCTCAGGGCCTATGAGTTTTCATGGGACCTGACTCCTAAACAGAGCTTTAGGATCAGTTCTTATTTTTAGCAAGTTCCAAAGCAAGCTGTTCCTGTGGGCTTTATCAAAGACCATGAAAAAGATACACAAAAATTACTGGTTATTTAAGTACTTTGTTAAAGACAACTTTACTTGTAGTTAGTGTGCAGTACACTGATACTGATAACCTTCCTCTGACTACTTCCCACTGTGTATTTAAATTACTTGTAGAGTTCTCCCACCTACAATTTATTATTTCAGACCTTGGAACCCTTCTTAAAATGCAAAAATTTTTTTTTTTTCTGATTTGTTGTAATGCCAGCCGTTCTACCCAGAAATTACAAATGGATCTGTTGTAATGGTCTGATCCAGCAGTGGGATGAAGGAATTCTGGATTGAAAATCTAGTCAGGTTAGCATGAAAGGTTAACAGAAAAAACAAAACAGAAAGGTGGTGGTGTGGTAGGGTTAGTGTAGATAGCCCAAATTCCATATATGTTCCCATTAAGGTAAAATTGGTGCTACATCTGTTTGCAGGGTCCTTTAGGCCTTTCTTTTTCATCACAACATATTCCAAAACTTGTTCATCATTTTTACAGAGAGTTGACTCAAAGCAGATTCACAGGTTGGCATCAGAAACAGTTCATGTTTTGAGGTTCCAAAAGAGTCAGAGGGCTTCAAGCACAGCTTTTCTGTGCTTGAAACTCAAGCCCATGGGATGTTAAAATTCCAGCATATTTAGTTTCATTTCTTTTCTTCGAGTCAGGACCACAACTCAGATTTGGTGTAATAATAAAATCATGATCTGGGGCATATTTCTTCCATTCTATTTATTATAGAAAAACTAGAATTAGGATGAGGAAAATATATGTACTGCAGTGGTGCTTCAGCTTTTAATCACTAAGGTAACAAGCACTGGTATGAAGTAATTTTTAATTAAGATACAGTGGTATAAAGTCAAAACCGAGGTTATTCTACACATTCATTAATGCCACTATGGTATGAAAGAAATAATACGGATTTTTCTCATTCTTTATTGTAGAAAAGGGCCGATAATTTATAAATTAAAAGCATACAGTAAAAATGTTTATAAATATTTTTCTAGAAGAAATGTACATTTTTAGTTGTTCTTGGTGATGGCAATCAACACAGAATAATTAAGGATCCAAAGGCAGGCCATTTTTGATGTAGATAGCTCATCAGCCCATAAGAAAATAGTTAATCCCAAATTTCTGGCTCAACTTAATTCAGCAAATGAGTGTTGGTTTTACAGTGCTATCAGATTTTCTTTTCCTTTTTTACCTGGTCTTATCAGTAGAAACACTATTTTGTGAGTCTTGGCCTGTAAAGAACGCCTCTCTACTTGTGTGTGAGACTGTTGTCTTTATTCCAGGGCAGAAATGGCCAGCCTCTGTCATGGGACAACCTAAAGAGTTGGCCTGGCTCATATGGTGTTATCCAATACCCTCTTTTCTAAGGGCTGCCAGGTCAGTGTCATCTATGTGGGAGAACTTGTGATGTATAGAGCAGGAGAGCTTGTAGCCGTTAATTACACGACACATATTTCTGTCTCTCTGGGTGATTGGTAAGATGGCAGTCTAAGCTCTTGGTAGACCCATGTGACCTCTCAAAAAGGTTTGACCACCCAAGTACTACAACCTGACATGGTTGTGTGATTGATAAATGGTGAAAGGAATGAAACCTGACTGGCTTAGAGAGCCAGATGTCGAATGCAAAATAGAAAGAAAAAGTCCCATGGAAATTACTATTATTTTTTTTTAGTCTCAGTATAATCAAAGGGTCCTTGACACAGTATTATGTGAGAAAATTATTCACTAAATGTCTTGGCTTTCAAATTGTTAGATTCTTCTTCATATCTATATATACATATATCTGTACTGTAGCAGAATTCGAACAAATGCTCCATTTTGGATTGGAGTGGTTTGGAAATGTTTGTGAAAGTACTTTTGGTGGAAAAAAAAATGTCTAGGCAGTGTACTCAAGTTCTTTTTGTCAAAAAAATCACATAGCTGCAAAAACTACCTTTGCATAATATCGAACAGATGGATTTCTGGTCCTGAGGAAAGGGTCCTTTTACCAGGACTAGAGGATTTTTTTTAACTCTTGGTCCTTGTTTTGACATGACTTCACATGTGATTGTTAAGTCATTTCAGTCAGTGTGACTGTGATTTATCTTATCCGTATGGAAACTATTTTGCAATTCTCACATACAAAATCTCTGATAAGTGCAGATAACATAATTTTCATACAAAAAGGACAGCTGTGAATATCCATTTCTGAAACAGATCGTTTTTTCAAAATACAAGAACTTTAATTTGGTGAAATGATGGAAGTGGTGCTTAGAATGACAGGAATTCTTTTCTGTTTTCAGCTCATGCATCTCTTGTCCAAAGAAATGTTAGTTCATTATTTTTTTCAGTGAGGAGTGCTTAAGATTCTGTAGCATAATCAGATTTTGTCACAGAACCACAGGGGAAAGCCAGATGTGCTGCTCTTAAAAGCTGGAAAGGAGTGAATTATACTTGTGGGAGTATCTTGTGTGATAAAAGAAAACTGTTGTAGTGCTGTTAAGCTTTAGTATGGAGACATGAAACATTTTAAAATCTAAACCCATCTATTTGTTAAAGACTACATTAAGCCCCAGAGTTGTCATCCCTGTGGGCTTGTATTTTTCACCCCTGTGGACACCTGGTATATGTTTGCCACTTTCAGGTCATCATCTGTTTTATTGATATTTTTCTCACTTTTTTGTTACTTCTCCTGGTTTGTGTAACTACTGCATGTCATTTGGAGTTTCAGGAGTACAGGTTGCTCGGCAGGGTGTTGGAATTAAATAGATCATTGAGGCCGTGGTCTGGCCTTTCCCTCAGAAGAAGCAGTGATTTACATTTGAGTGAGGGCTTTTTTACCAGTCCTTGCTGTTCTCGCTGTTGAAGTGAGTAGTTCAAAAGTTACTAGGATACACAGAGGTACTGAAATCATTTGGAGGACACAACTTGTCCAGGAGTCAATTCCTGTCAAATACTTATATTCACCTAGAAACAAAAGCATCAGCAAAATATGAGAGAAAGGTGTATTAAAATATTATGGGCTGTATTCTCACAGACAGTAGCCTTTTCTAAACAGAGGAAAGTCTAACAATCCTCATTTCTGTGTAAATGCCAGCTGTACTGTGTTTCAGTCTTTTATTAGGTGCTTATGCAGCATTTTCACATGTGTCCATGTGCAAATTTTTATGCACAGAGCTAGTATCAGAATCTTTAGTATCAGAATCTTTTGGATTGGAAAAGACCTTCCAGACAGATGGACAGATCATCAAGTCCAGCCACTAACCCAGGACTGCCAAGTCCACCGCTAAACAGTGTCCCCACATGCCATATCCACACACCTTCTAAATACCTGCTGGGACAGTGACTCAGCCACTTCCCTGGGCAGCCTGTCGCAATGCTTGACAAACTTTTGGGTAAAAATTTTTTTTCTTAGTGTCCAATTTAATAAGCTACTGTTAGATATTTTTCCTCTTCATTGTTTGTCATGTAATATTAGTGTTCTTACATGCCTTTTAAACCTCTCTTTCAAGGGAGTTACTTATTTTTTTCTTACCTTTCCTGTGACCTCCATAACTAAATTTGAGTGCTTAAGAAACAGTTCTAAGTTTATGTTTACATTATCCTCCTGAAATGTAGCTTTTGTCTTCCCATTTCACAGATGAAGATGAGGTAGATATTTAAAGTGTCTACTAGAAGGTTAGTCTGGAGAACAGATTTGATGGTGGCCAGATAAAGATGCTTGGAAACAGATACTTAAAATTATTAAAATTTTGTAGCATGTATTAAAGCAAGCTGCAGTGTTTACTTTTCAGTATTTAAGACAACTCCAGGGGACTATATAGCGAAGAAAAAGAGGAAATTCTTATTTTCTACTTCACAGTTAATTCCAGAAGAACTGAATTTCTCCTCAAGAGCTAATACTCAGAATTATCAGGTACAACCTGATAGAGCACACTGTGCAACACTCATGTGGGAGAAGACTGAGGTCCAATGGGTATAAATGGTCAGTATTTGAGCATGACAGGGTGCAAGTCCCTGCTCAGGCACTCCAGTCCTGTACAACTGCAGAGGTTTGGTCAGACCACCCTGTGAACGATACGAAGTCTCTCCTGAGGGTAGATATTTGTTCCAGCCTGCAGATTGGATACTTACTGTTCTTTGATGTCTTAGACAGAGTGCCAAGGTGCTATCATGATTATCTAGCATAAAATACACTGCAAGCCAAGAAAGGTTTTTCTCATGTAATCTTTCTTATGGGGAAGGGCTGACAAATCATTTGTGGTGACTGGGGATAGAGAGATTGTGTTAGAGCAGTTGGGCTTGCTAATCACAGAAAGTAACCATTGTTTGATGTTTCCATGAGAGAGCCCTCCATTAACTGCGGCTGAACTTGACTGAGTGTGAAATTAAAAAGGAGACACAGATTTCCAGACACTCCCTCAGGTGCTCAAAAGTATTCTAACTGGCACTGTGGGAGACCTCCTAAAACAACTAAGGAAAGAGGCCACAACAATGTGAAAAGAAAACCTTTTGTTTTATCACTGAACCCACAAAGTTGGTCAAGATCAGTCACACTGTATTAACTGTAAATTTTAGGCTTTACATTAAATGCTTCTTTCTGCCAAGGTCTGGTTCCAGCTGTGCTTGGTGAGCATCTGCACTCCCAGGGACTGGAGGTGTTTAATCCTAGACAGGAAAGTCTGTGAAAATAAATGTAAGATAAATTGTCAGGAGACTGCATAATAAGGCATTGTCTAGCTTTAAGAAAATTATTTAAAAATTTCAGCTTGACAGACATAAAAGATTTTACAGGCTATGTTGGCTTCTGCTGGCAGCTGGAATCTGAGACAGGAATTGTAGAGACCCGATTGCTGGCTTGCATTGTGGCACTGGAGGCACTTCCATCTTCTTTATTTTTTTCCTTCCCTGTAAAATGAGGGAGGCATATAGATCCGACAGATACCTACTGGAATTAAATTTGAAACTCTGGAACCTAGTATCATTGCAAAGTGTTTAAAATGCTCTTTTAAAACCATGTTTATTACCCATAATATGGAAGTGTAAGAAGGGCTGTATCCTTTGTCTCTGAGGTTGTTGTATTATATAAGTCTCTGAGGAGCATTCCATTTTAATGCTTGGTTCTGTAGGAAGAAATGAAAACACCATAAATTCAGGATTATGACATATTCTAGGATTAAGGGGGAGGCTTTTAGCCAAGAATATGTACATATATCAGTTTATTCTACTTTGCTGTATGTGAAAGATCTTTGAAATCTTTCCTGATTTTGAGAGAAAACATCCCTTGAGTAAAACTAGTATTACTCATTTCACTGTTGATACGTGAATATCATTCAGTTATATTGGTGGTTCTTGTGACATGAATATACATTTTCAGATCTAGCTATCCATTTTACTGGGGTACTCCTTCTGATGAAAACCTTTTGTGTCTTTGCCTGTAGCTACCATTGACCTCCACATAATTGTCGCTGTTGTTTCAAGATTTAAAATGGAAGCAAAAAGGTGATGGCCTCTGAAAGCTTGTGCTGTGAAAAAAGTATACCATATTTCATGTAATATTCTCACTTGTAGAGCAGACTTTGAACATTCACATGCTGTCTTTCTTTCCTCATACAACAAAACACACTGGGAAAATTACTGTATTATAAACACAACCTTAAAATTCTTATTTTAAAAAAACACCCCACCCTGGGAAAAAAAAAAAAATCTCAGTGATCCTTTAAAGAAGGAGCAAGCTGGAATCCTATGGAATGGCATGTAATAACACAGGTCGTGGTATGCATACTGAAAAATGATATCTAGTGTTACTACAAGTTAATATGCATCCTGTAATTCACTGTAATGTATTTTCAAAGCCATGAAGCCTGTGCTGGTGATCTCTAGGAAGCAGATTTGTCTGTTAGCCAGCTAATTACCAAATAAGTGCCCAAAGCAAGTACCTGCCATCTCCTTCATAAAACTGTCCAATGCACAGGAAGATAAATAGTGGCAGAAGCCCATCCTGAATTTAACCACATTGTGCTGCTATGTTCATTCTTCATTTCAAGTTATTGCTTGGTTGACTGTGATTTTTGAAACACAAACTTTTTCTCTTTAGAAGATCTCTCAGTTCTGTTGTGGTTGCAGGTGCTGGCTGGAATGCTGGTTGTCGTGTCCTTTGATTCTGTCAGAGTGATTGATACCCCACACACCTTATTACAAGAAAAATAAAGCTCAGAATCCAGGCATCACACTGTTTTTTTAAAGATGTCATGTCTGACCTTGAATGACAGGTTATTTTGACAGTGCAGCGTTTGTGTAGTGGAATGATACTGAGTCATTAAGTTTAATAGAAGCACAAAATACAAATATGTAAAAAAAGAGTCAAGTCCTGGCTGGAAACATTTAATGGTAAATATAAAGAAACAGGCTAAAACAAGTGAGTATAATGAAAAACAGCACAAGACGGTGTTTTAAACATTTTGGAGGTGGTTTTTGGCTTGTGTTTTGACAATTGGTTGTTTCTCTTGTTTTTGCTTCTTTTGCTTATTGACTTTTAGGTTGTTTCCTTCCTGCTCAAAGTGTACATCACAAAGGAAGTTATTTTAAAAGCCCCAGTTTCTCAGCCTTCTGTCTAGCATCTAAGTGCTTTTTAAATTTTCAGGGCTGATTGAAGGAATAATCTGAAAGACTGGAGGAGGAAAAAGAAGTAGGTAGGCAAGGGTCTACTCTTAGGTAAGAACATGGAAGAGAGCAGGGAGATGTCTGCCAAGAAAAACACCAATGCAGCCATACAGTAATGGTGGGAATTTACAGAGAGAAAATTAATTCATTTTATACTCCTAAATAGGAATATTAAAATTTGAATTTAATGTTAATGTAGGAGGAGGAAGTTCCCGATGTGTGCCTGTATGACATGATTTGTGTTCCTAGTGGCATCTCTGCCTTTGTTTATTTGAGAGACTGCATGATCAGATGATGCAAGAGAGAAATGAGGAGAAGTAGAAGGAAAAGAGAATGGACAGGAGGAACTACTATAGTAGTAATCAAGGTAAAAGTTGAGCAGTGAGCAAAGTGGTTTTTTCTATGCTGATCAAAGGAATCAGACAGATCATGCAGGTGTTACTGGAAAGAACACAGACTTTGCTGACTTGTTGTGCAGGTCGGGGCAGGCCCCAGTTAAAAATGGTCTCCATAAAGGATGACAGCTGGAAGGAACTGTCAGATTTAATGCAGATGAGCTTAAGGTCAATCGATCTCAACAGCCTCCCATTTTTACCTCTATAGTTGTATTTGGTCCAGCTTCTAGGAGTATTGCTGACCTGCTTTGGCTGGGTCATTTGCAGTGATCTTGATGTAAATGAGGAGCTGGGAACTGTAAGGAGTTCAGATTTGGATCACAGAGCTGGTCAGGGGCCGGAGCAGCTGGCTGTGAGGAGCAGCTGAGGCTTGTTCAGGGCTGGAGCAGGGGTGGCTTCAGGAGACCTCAGCAGAGACCTCCCAGTGCCTGCACAGGGGTTCCTGACAAGACCAAGGCAGGTGCTTCCCTTTGGCACATGGGGGAGGATGAGAGACTGGGCCTAGGTTGAAATGAGTGCTTCAGATGGATATAAAGAGAAGCATTTTCCCATGAATGGGCTCCAGCAGGGGAACAAAGGTGCAGAGAGGTTGTGGTGTCCATCCCTGGATGTTTTCAAAACCCAAAAAGAAGAAATAACATGAAATTCCTTTGCAAAAGGAACTGGCTGCTTTATTTTTTTTATCAAGGTTTCTCATTTTTTAAAAATGGTTAAGTAAACTCTGTGTGTATTGGAATTCCTAGGAATGGTGTACAGCTGATAACATCTGACACAAGCATGCTTATAGACAGCATTTTCTTTTAACAGCATCATACTGGACATTCATTGAAATACATGATGACAGGGATGCTTCTTATAGGAATTACCATGTTAATTCCATTAGAAAAAAAATATTTTCTGTGCCATTTATTTTGTAATTTAAGATCAGCATTCCACATTTGCAGAAGGCTGGTAGAATTTTAAAAGTAATAAATCAAAGGAGTTTTCTTTATACCTACAGAGCTAAGTGTGTCTTCCAGAACTATTAAATGAAACTAAATTGACATATTTTTGGATGTGTAATCTCTGTGACCTTCAGTAACTGTTTGTTTCTTTAAATCTGAAAAATGCCTTTAAAGTGTAATAGCCCAGAGTTTCAAATAGTGCAGCAGGAGATGTAATGCATATTTTAACATGTTTTGTTTAAATTTGTCACACAGACTTGTTGTGCATGATTATGCAAAAGTCCGTGTTTTTAAAGCCAGTAGTACAAGTGTGTGATGTACTTGGTTGGGCTAAAAAATTCAGAAGTCTAATTTATCTTGAGATATGCTCAGTCAAGAAGTTTTTCACAGCAGTTAGCTAACACTTCCAAGCTCTAACAGTGCCCCTGAGCCATAAAAGAAATTTGCATGTAAGAAATGTTTTGAATCTATTAAAACCTCAGCTCAGAGCTAAAGAGTTTCTCTTATGTCTTTGTTGACTAACATGAAGTGAGATCTTACAAAAAGCTAGGTTGTGATCGACAGATGCCAAATCTTAGGTTTTGATGTGATTATATTTTCTTCCATGCACGGTGGTTTGCTCTGGGACTCGAGTTTCAGAAAGACAGCAATCAATGGGCCTGTGCAAGAGTACACAAACTATATTACTCCTGGCAGTCGTCAAGGCAGAATTATTCAAAAAATAATCTGAAATGCATTTGATCATACACTAGAAGTTTTAATAATTTATATTATACCTTATTAGCAAAGTCTTGTGTTTACTCTATGACTGCCAAAACAAGATGAAAGGCTGCCTCCATGGAAATACAAGATTCTTAGCTCAAAGTCTCTGTCTGTGCATTTCACTTTGGTAATTTCCCTTCCTTTCCTCATTTTGATTAACAGTATATAATTTTAAATCTTAAAGTACCTTTTCCTTCATTGTGGTGCTATTTAGTAAGAGCAATACTTAACAAGTCTACCAAAGAGTTTGTGGCCTATCAAGACTGAAACTAGTATAAACACATATTTTTGAAACTTCTTTACCTTAGGCCTTCCTCTCAGCATTTTTTTTTTTTTTTTTGTTAAAAGAGGCTTTGAATTTTATTCTAAATTCCACTGAAATTAATCATTATGGTAATCTTTCTAACTCTTGCAGCTACAAAAGTGTGATTTCTGAGCTCAGCTTAAGGAACTGTTGCACTCTGACTAGTGATTGTATGTGGTAAATATCACAGCTATATCAGAATATTAGGTCAGAATATTACAGCAATTACTTAAAGATTTCCTTGGAAAGCTAATGCACTGTGAATATTTTATCTAGAGACAGAGATACAAATAAGGACTGTTCAGAATTAATCCTTCAATTAAGTGAGAGCATGGTGAGTGGACAGTGTAAATGCTAGTTCAAAAAATGAGATCTTTACCTCCACCGAGGTTTTTTACAACAAATTTAGAATCGTAGAATATAATCATAGAATGATATATACAGTGTTTTTCACTAACACAGCTGTTCATATGCTAGCTGTGTGCCTGGAAGAGCTGCCTATATTCTTGACAGGCCCATCCCTGTTGCCCAGACTATGGCAAGGGCCCCTCAGCCCTTACTCAGGAGGGAGACGGTGCAGTGACACGGTCCCTTTGCAGAGCTCCTCTTCCCACTGGCGAATTTGTGCTCTGTCTCACCGAGTGGCACAACAGGCTCTGAGGAAGAGGCATCCACCTGCAGGTGTCTCTGAGTGATTATCCTGGGTTTAAAAGCCCTTTACAAATCTCAGGATTGAAAAGACTGTTATATCCTACAGGAGCCTTTCAGTCACCGGGAGACAGATGTACCTTTTTTTTTACAGATGCACATTCTGTGATGATAATGAGGGAAATTTTCATGGAAACCTGTGGCATTACTCATGTGTCAGGCAGAATTTTGGGCCAAACCAGAGAACAGTGCTTAGAAAACATGAATCAGATGAATACACTCTTTACTTTCCTTGAAAGGGCATCTTTGGCAGGATCACCTGAAGAGGTGTACATTGTCAAACAGAAACACAGCATGTTTAAGAGGTAAGCTGTGATGTCTTTAAGAAAAGGGTCACTTCAGTTTGCAAATTGAGATATTTTTGTCTCTACCAAAAGAAAACAAAAAATGGGTTTACTGTATCTGTATGGTCATCTCATTTATTGGAAATATGATGAAGTAAGGAAAAAACAGATTTCACAGCTGTGCAGGCTGACTTAGATGAAATGTCACTGGTACTGCTCACCAGCAGCATTCACCACCACTGGAACTTTGTAAACCTTGCTAAAATTTCATGTGTCATTCTGTCCTACCAGCAGTATGCAGCACTACCTAATGCATATGCAGTGCATGTTACAGTAGAGGTGTAAGAAAACACTATGGTAACACAAAAAAGCAGTATAAGCATGATCAAAATTATACCAGCAAGATGAGACTCTTTGGTTTTATGTTGGAAAACAGAAAAACTGTATAACATAAACGAAATGCCAGTGAAACCACTACTGTAAACTATGTTACAGAAACATGATTGGATGCATGAAACACTGATGTGCTTAACTGTTAGTGCAGGGGAAAACTTAAAAGAAGTCTCTCAAAACATTTTACAACTTACAATTTGTGTTTGGGGCATTTTGCTGGCTGTCCCTAGTCTTCCTGAGACATGTAGGTAGGAACTAATGCTGAGCATGAAGAGGAGCATTGAGGAGAAGGTCCAATGTTATTTATGAGGTACTAGCCCTTTTTATCTGTTTGCCAAGGGATAGCATCTAGTCTTGTATGAGTAAATGACTATGATTTTATCATGCAGTGTAGAAATATTTAATTACAAGTCAATAGGCTGATTGTAGTCAGCCAAATTTTAAGTCATGATTCAGTGAAAAATAAATCTCAGAAGAAATAAGACTTTAGTTGTACTGATATTTTTACAGCCTTATCCATTCCTTTAAATCACTTTAGCCTTAGTATTAATGTACCAACAATACATGTAAAAACAGGTCATTACCATAAATTAAGCACCTTACATTAGATATCTGTGAGACCTGCAAAGAAAAGAAATGCTTTATAAATGTCTAGAAAGAATAAATTGCAGAAGAATTTTGACTCATTTGTAAAAAATCCTTTATACTGTACATTTTCCAGTTTAATGTGCAGGCAAAGGTTAATCAGGTTTGATTTGGGAGGACAAAATAGCTGTGGCCAGGTGCTAAAATTCCAGATGCCTTAGAAATTGATTAAGTAAAATTAATAGCTTAACAATAGCTTTTGATTAAGTTAATATGTTCTGTACAATATAGACTGGAGTTCTGGAGTGGTGCTGTTACTGTGCCTCACACTGGAGAATTACACCCCAGTGTGCTTGCCTGTTTCCTTTCCACTGTTTACCCAGTTGACGTTCTTCTAGGTGCTTATGTGTGAGAAGTCATCCTCATTTCATAGTTCACTTGATCAGTAACCCTTTGCCTGTGTGAATTGAGATCTAAGTCAGCAATAACTCAGTTGTTAGAATAGCACTTACTCCAGGCTGTCATTTGTCCCTTTGATGCTTACTTACCTAACCAGTAATAATCATTATTTTCCTTCTACAATTACTCTAATGGAGCTGATTGCTGAAATGGAAAACAGGAGGCAGTTACAGAAGGTTTGAATTGTGCTGTCACACTTTCATGGGCAGGCACCTTTCTTGGAGCTTTGATATTTCTTTGAGTTTGCCCAGATCTATGTTTGGTAAAAGACAGAGTGGGCATCTGGTCTGTATTTCCATGTGGCCCTGATTCAGCTTCTTGGAAACACAAGATTGTCCAGATAGGTACTTTCTGGGTCCCTGATTTATTTTATACAAAATGTGAAAGGGAAAAAAAATAAAATGGTTTTATCAAAAACCTTTTTTTAACTGGAAAATTTCAAACCAATTAAAAATCCAGCTGAACTCAATTAAATTCCCAGAAGATTATTCAAATACAGAGGAGGAAAACAGACATGATCAACAGAAATAGTGCATCTTGTGATGCAGCATCATTACACCTTTGTTTAATTACACCTTTACCACTTACATCTCTTGCAATGTTATCAGAGTTTCAATGAATGTTTTTCCTTTTGAGCATCTGCAATACTGAACTGAATAAGGGTGCAAGAGAAAAGAGCCTTTTATTATTTTCACTTGGATTTTCTGCTGAAATAGTGATGCTACATCTATAACTTGTAGCTGCAGTTAAAGAGATCATATTCTTGGGGATCTTGGTGCTTGCGGTCAGGTTGGGAATGGTAATGGCAGGCACAGCAGGGAACTGGGATTCAATATACTGAATGAGAAGGTGAGTGTTTTAGCACAGCTGCCTCCTGAGGGTCAGGGGAAAGGAAAAGCCCTTTGGGAGGATTTTCAAGCACCACTGAGCTGGCACACCAGGAGTCGATGATTGACTTTAGAAGATCCCTGCTGTGCAAAGGATTGAGTGTTGTGGTCCCCTTTATCACTGGTTAGACATTGCTTTTGAAGAAGCCAAAAATCGGAAAGTAGTGAGATAGCAACAAAACAAATTAAAAAATAACCATCAGATGACGGTCGCTGATGGCAGTGAGGTCTGGAGATTTGTTTCTGTTGCTAACAGCTGCATTGATTTGGCAGTTAATTTCATTAGAAATACTGATTTTGTATGGCATTTATAAGATTCCTGTATGAAAAACTGATGACCTGAGGATGATGCAATGCAGATTGAATTGTTGGTTGTGAAAAGGACATTAATTTCACCACAGTATAAAGAGGAGAGTGTATGTGGTATGCACAATCAGAAAGACAGAACACAGTTTCAATCCTAATGTGTGCATTTCTTCACAGGAGTTCAGACGTTCACTGCAGAACGGCACAAACTGGAGAGCACAGCCTTCTGCTGAGATCCCAGTGAAAACACGGCTCAGCTCCTGGATGGCTTTGCAGCTGCCATGGCAACAAGAGGGAGGTGGAGTGAAGATCCTGTCTGTCAGCCTGGCTCTGCTGGCAGTTCTTGTTATGTTTTACTATGGAGGAATGAAAACAGAACTGTGAACTGAATGGGGCTTTTATTAAAACAATAAAACTGCTGTTCAAAGTCTTCAAAGGAATCACTTTTACCAACAAATCTTGGTGTTTTTTTTTTTTTTTAGGAAAAAAACAGCTAATATAAATTGGGCAATAACTTGTACTCATCCTGTGCCTTTCCTGTCATTCAAAGCAGAGAAGGTTAATAAGCTGTGGGAAGGCCTATCTTGTCAAAACCTGAGATCCTTGCTTGGTAGAACATTGGTAGATCCTTGGTTGGTAGTTTGTTGCATCTTTCCTTTTGTTTTTTTCCTAGAATGATGCAATGTTTGCATTACATACGTATTGTAAATGCAGGCGAACCCGGTGGGAAGAAATGATGATGTCTGACTCAGTTCAGAAGGCTGAATGATTTCTTTATATAACTATGCTATAACACATTAATATAAAGGAAGATACTAAAACTGCATACTACTTTCTCTAACTACCAAATCTAACTCACAACTCATGAACCTGTTCGCAAGAGTCCAGACACAGGTGGATCTGGTTGGCCATCAGGTTCAAACAATCTCACCAGAATCCAATCAAGCAATCACCCCAGGTAAACAATTCTCCAAGCACATTTCACATGAGAAGAACAAGGAGAAGAAATAGAAATAAGTTTTAAGGAATCTTTCCATTGAGTGATATTGGTCATCTTTTATGAGTAGATTATTTAAAGTTTTCCTAAAGATTTTGCTTGATGCACTGTGATCATTTGATATCTTTTTACATTAGAATGAACACTGCAAGGCCATTAAAGTTTGTTATTTGTTGCTATTTATTTTGTTGTCATGTCTGAAACAATTTTTGCCTGCCATCTTGCATATCTCAACTTCTCAACAAGTTATTAGGCTTTATTAATACAAGAAGAATTATTTTTTTACATAGAAATAGTTCTGAAGGTGTTGGCTTTCTATAACTGAATAGGAAAATGTTGTTCGGGTGTAGAGTTCTGTTAAAAGATGGATTTAATGCAGTCTGTAGATTTTATATAATGCTTAGAGAACTACCTGGGAATGTCTTCGTTTTGTGTTGGTTCAGTAAAACAATTATAACACTGTTAGTTGGGGTAATTGCATTTTACACAATGGAAATTCCTAATTACTTTATTCAAGCCATTTTGTCATGAGAGGGTCTCCGCACATCCTGTGAAGCGTGTTGGTGAGCCAGGGATTGGACTGTGTGCCCAGTTCTTCCAGCACTTGACCACATCATATTGTAGGATTGTTCATGCCTTGTCACCTTTCTGAATCTTCATCCAAACTTCCACTTGCAGAGACTGTTTAAAATCATAACACAGGCACTGTTGAGGTTTTTCTTAATGTTTGTGTCATATCCAGATGGAGCTGAGCTGTCTTACATGGCTGTTGGGGTTTAACCCCAGCGGGCAGCTGAGACGCTTGCTCAGCCCCCTGCAGTGGGGTGGGGGCAAGAATCAGAAGAGCAAAAGTAATAAAACTTAGGGGTTGAGGTAAAGACACTGAAATAGGTAAAGCAAAAGCTGCACATGCAAGCAAAGCAAACCAAGGAAATAAATCCTTCATTACTTTGACAGGCAGGTGCTCAGCCATTCCCAGAAATGCAGAAGAGGCCTTGACTCTGTACGAGCCCTCCAAAACATAGCCCCAAACCAGTTGCAGTGAAGGAAATTAACTCTATCCCAGTCAAAACCAGTACATTGTCTCTACAGTGCAGAGGAATAATCCCCCAGTAAGAGTGCTTTGTACCTTATAAATTGGGGATTCATAATAGTTACACACAATTAACCAGGAAGCTCCACCACAATGCTTTTAGCACAGCCTGTAAATTATAACAACAGATGTAACTGTCTTCAGGAAATCAGGTGTGTGATCACTCGAATTTTATATTTCTTATAGCAACCACTGAAAGTCATAAGCCAAGACTCAAAATCTGTGAGTTTTAAAAGAAAAATAACCATACCCATAATTTGCTTCTGTTTGTTGGCGTGCTTTTTTTGTCAAGCTTTTGTGTACAACGAGGAATATATAACAATCAGTAATTTACTGTTTTTAACAAATCTGAAAGATTCTCAAAAAAACCCCCGCCAACAGGACTCTGGGGATTGAAATTTTCAGGAAAATACCACAGATTGCTAGATTCTCAGGAAAACTGTGGATTGGCAAAATCATTATATCCGAGCCAAACTTTCTCATGTGATGGGAGTAATCTATGCAGATATGTTGTGTGTCTCTAGCATTATCTCTGTCAGCCACTCTAGCTTATCTAATCGTGGCAATTACAGACTCATTGCATCAGCTATTACAGAGATTTACAAAGCTTGTGATTTAGATTCTGTGCATCATTGACTTTAATGGGACCAGCTTATTTTCTTAGAAATAGTGCAATATACTGAAAGAGGCCAAAGAAGACTTTTTAAATGACATTGCCTGCAGTATATTCTTAAACTGAGCTTTAGTCTGATAAGTAGGAAGTGGTGTTTATCAGGTATTTTGTTGGTTTCCTTTGGATTTTGAGAGAGGTTTTTGACACTTGGTGTTGTAAAGCGGCATTGTGTTTGTCATTGTTCTGTTTCTGCGTTCTGTTTATGTGCAAAAATAAAGCTTCCAAAGCCACTGAGCTGAGCAAATCAGTTCTGGTCAAACAGCTCACCTGGACCAAGCTTGGACTGCCTGGGGCTACTGGTGCAGCTTGGGAAACCTCAGTGGGCGTGGGTTGAACTGTACAAGTGCATCCTCCTCATGGAAAAGTAGATCTGAACACATCTGATCTGTGAGTTCTGATCCTGTTAGGTTCCTTGAATGCCCTAATACCCTGCCAGGTGGCATTTTTAATTTTTACATCAACATTATGTTTGAGACCTACTTCCAAGTATTCCCTCTTTGTAAGCCATCAGGGTGGGTGAGAAATCTGCTGCACTCCAGCTAAACAAGGTCATTGCAGGAAAAGTTACCTCATAGTCAATTGATCCCACTTTCACACATGCTGAACACACTCATCACTAGGGAATGTGTCTGCTAATAAGCAATCTACATTCAATGACCTTTTGTCAGAGCAAAAAAAAGAATATAATTTCCATTTGATACCAAGAAAGTCTCAACTATTTTTCTTAAGTGTTTGTGGTCTCTGAGTTCTCTTTGGCTGTTTCCAATGAGGGATCTTGCAAACCACAGAACCCTGAATAGCAAAGGCATCTTAAATCTGTTGTGAACAGCATTAAGTACATTCGTTTCATTTTCTACTTGTGCATTGTATGCTGGAGGACTTTGTCATTAAAGTCTTTTCATTGTAGCTTTCTAGTAATAGTAGTTTAGAAAAAGAGTGTGACATATAAGAAGTGTTTTATGTAAATCTTGTCTATAAAGCAAGAGAAAGAAGAAAAGGTGCTTTTTGAGGAGATTCACCTCTATTACATCATTCCTTGCACATCTCTGAACATGTGACAGCTACTGTTAATCTAGTTTCACTTCCCGGTTCAACTTCCCATATGGAAGGTTGGAGTGATTTTTGAATAATAGCAGATAATATCAGAAGTGGCAGCAACTGGCAACTCTGACACTAAGCTTGGCTGTGGCCATTACCCAGAATCCTCCTGCTCTTCTTGAGAAGCAATTACAATTTCACAGGTTGGAATTAAAATTCCCTACAGTATGCAGGAGAGTAACTGAAACTGTCAAAGTGATTTCAAGCTGCTAATCTCTTCCTGCTCCAAGAGTGAAAATAGAGCCCCTCTTACCCAGGCACAGATCTGACAACTTAAAAATTCCAGCCTTCCACTATGTTTAAATACATATGGAGAGTGGCTTGATCTGCTCACAGAGGATATCTGTAAAGATGTTATGTCTATGAACATTTGTGTGTTATTAACAAGTCTATCTTTTTAAACTTTAAGACGTGTGTAACTTCAGGGACTAAGACGAATATAAAAGAAGTCTTATGCAAGAGCTCTGACAATTTGGAGGAATGAGTAGGCATGTGCCTGTTTGTGTGAGGCTTATTAGAATCTTTATTTACGTTCTCTTGAACATGTATTTTTTGCTAGAAGAATTGCTTACAACTTTCCCAGATTTTATTTTCACAGTTTTATATCCCACATTATATTTTTTGTGCACTATGGTTGATTGTATAGATAGAAACAGAGAGCATTTAGAAACTAAAACGTAGAGAAAAAATTGAGGGGCTGTAAAACTAGGGTGCAAAATGAAAAATATTTGTGCAAAAGTTGCAAAGCATGTTTGGTCTAGGAGACATGGACCACAGAGTTAGGAATTGGCTGCAAAATACCATTGGACTTGTTTAGTTATCCACTAGATAATTAAAATCAGAGTCATTGCTGGAAAGTGTTTGTGCAAGTATCATTAAATGTCTTTTAGTTTCATTTGTTTCATGCATGCTCTTAACATTCAAGTGAATGCTTTTTTCCTTTAAATGAACGTTCTTCAGTGGATGGACGGGAGATTAATTATGAATAGTCTATTTTCATTTTAATGAAGCCCAATGCCATAAAAAAAATCATGTCACTGCAACTGCTGATATCCCAGAGTCCCCTTTTTGGAGTTTGTGGTTATGAATTTGGAACTTTAATGCTGTCCAGTCATGTCCCATGAATGGAGAAAGAGTAATATTTGAGTGTCCTTTCAAGAATATTTTGCTGGAGAATATTTAGCAATTATAGCCATTCTTCTTTAAAAAATGGTCTTAACATGATGTTTTATAGAGAATAATCTGCATGGTTTGCTTGATGCTGGTTGTACGTAATGGGGTGAATTTCCATGTTGGTAACGAGAGTGTGATGCAGATTTCTGCCTACAATTTGGCATGCTTTAAATGTCCCATCTGTCTTTGAGTGTGAAAACAGGATAGTTATGCTTAAGTGAGCATAAAATACTGTGTCTCCTCTCTTCCTGAGGGGTGTTTGTGGGAAGCGGTGTACAAATGTTAGTTGCCAGTGGGTTACAGATTACAGGAGGAGCTTGGAGATGATGAAGCACACCAAAAAAGGACCATGATTGTTTGGCACATAGTAAGAGTTGGGGATCTGAGAGAAATTAATGTGATGAAATCATGACATGATGGGAAATTTGACTTCTCGTGGTTAGGATATCATTACAGTATAATCTGAAAAATAAAACATCAGTGGTGTTTGGAAGGCTTTGCTGCACAGACACCCTTCCCAAATGCTCTTAACTTGGGTTCCTGTGCTGTGTTGGAGCAGTTTGTTCCACCACACTGATACCACAGTCAGAGAAACACCACCCAGCTCACCTGGCTTCTGGCTGTGAGCTGGGCACACACAGTTTCATGGAGGAGGGCATCACAACTCTGTCCCCTCTCACCCTGCTTGTCAGTGCATTACATTTTTTGCTGCTCGGTAGGGGAGATGGGTAAACTGCAGCCAGCTAAGAAACTTGCTCAGTCCAGTGGCATGCAGTAAATAATCACACTTTTTAGTGGTTGTAAGCTTCAGCGTTTTGTTTGGGTTTTAAGTACCTCCATTCCACTGTGAGCCTACATTCTCTCTAAGCCTTCCTTCCAACTGCTTCATCCAAGCCATCAGCACCTCATTTTGTTTTGTGGAAGATGGCTTCTCTTCAGAAGGGTAAGTATTAGTCTGAGTAAGGTGGCTTCTTCCCTGAAAATAAGAATGCTGCTTCTCAGGTGAAGCTCATTTGCCAGAGATACCACTGCTTGGAATCCATTGTGTTGCAGTGTCTGTTCTTCACCTGTGTGGTGTCTGTCTGCCAGAGCCTTTGGGTTTTGTCAGAAACTCCTGTTTTCTAATAAGCAGGATTAAAAGGCCTCTTCTGCTGTGCTGTATTAGTTTTGAACTTGCAAACCTCAGAAATGCTGTAATTCAGAGCGAGAGATAAAACACGTCATTGATGTCAGCTGAACATATTAAATTTGATATCCACTAGTGGCTTTATGAGCTATAAAAGCCAATATCTAGAAATCACCAACTACAAGAAGTCTGTACAAGAGATTACAAAGGGCTGTGTGTGATGTGGCCTGCAGAGTGTTAGTATGAGACTGCAGGAGGAAACAAGAGAGCAAGTTACCAAGTCAGCTGTACAGATAGCCAGTGGCAGAGAGAAAGATATGTTCACAATCAAGGGACAGCTTAATCTCCAAGTATTATGGTAATATTAAGGAAATTTAGAAAAGACAGATAGCAGCTTGGACAAGCTGCAGCAGCATTATTTTGCTTCTGTCCTGCTCGGATTTAGTAGGTGAAAAGGGCAATCTGAATAACATTCTCCAGCAGAAGGATAAAACAGAGCCTAACAGCAGATAGCAGCTTTGGATCTGTGAGAAGGAAATTATTTAGAACAAATCAGAACCTCCTGCACTTTTCATATCTCCTCCTTATGCTGCTCTGAAGGGACAGCTTGTTTTGATATGGTTTTATTTGGCTTTTTTTTTTCTGGAAACACATATTCGGGTTCCCAAACCTTTTTTATTTTATCTGACTGAAATAATACTGAAAAAAATCATTCACTTATGCTTCTGGTTTTAAGATCAGACTTGTTTGCATTCTTTTGCATGCCCTGTGAGCCTGCATCAACCAGCAACCCTTGTAGAAGGGGTGGGATTAATTTTTATATTGATTTGAACCTAAACTGCAAGTTTTCAGTTGGTTTGTGAAGTATTATCAGGGGTATCAAGAAAATTAAGTCTAGCTGACAACATATTTAATATATTTACTGTCTCTATGTACAATTTGCCAGTGTTGCATACTAAAAATTGTTGAAGTTAACCAATCTAAATCCACTGATAAATTCTTGATTTTTACCAATTTATAGTGTCATTAAAGTCAGACACACAGCTGATTTGATAGCCTTGCCCCAGCATATATCTGCTGTAAGAATTACTGCTGCAGGATGGCATTAGACAGTGCTTTCACTACATCCTCCACAACATCTGCAGTGCAAGAAGAAAAACAAATTATAATCGGCACACAAGAGGCAGTTCCTAAATTTGTAAAGAAGCCACTGTCTCAAGCCTCAACACAAATACTCATGAAAGGATGTGGTAAATTGTAGGTTCTGATTCAGAAAATTCCAATATAAGAATTTACCTGCCATGGTAGAATGGCGGAGGACCTCATCTCTTCCAGGACTGTGAGGCAGCAGTCAACTACCACTGCAGAGGTCGATGAGTCTTATATATTATATACACATTGTATGTGAAGCAGCGGCTTCCAGGGCCAGCCCTTTGTCATCTGTGTTCCTTTCCATAGTCTTTGAAATCCATTCACTTACCATGTGTCCTGCAGGACCCATTTCTGATGTCCTTTAGTGAGCTCTGAAGCTCTTGTGAGTGCATTCTGCAGAGATCCAGGATTACAGCTCCGGCTTTCTGAATCACAGCAGGCAGAATGAGCTATTCCGGCCTTTCACATCAAAGTTCTTGTTGTAAGAGGGTTCAATAGTATATTTCCTGTTCTTGCTGCAGACACTGCTGCAAAAGTTGAGTCATCAGCATATAAATACTTTCTTGGCCTCAGAATATCGGATTTTTTTTTTCTGTGTTGATTGGCTGCCCATTTCATTTCTCTTTCCACACTTACTGACTCATCTAAGAATAATGAAATTGGGTTGCTGCCAATCATACTTCATACTGCTTCAAATGTAGGAATGCTAAGGCAACTCATAAATACTATCTTATCTGTCAGGAAATCCATGAAACCGAATTTCAAGTCATTCTTGTTCACAGCAGTAGCTTGAGCAAAAGACCTGGAATAGTTTTGGTAATAAAGTCTGGTCCTATGGACAGCCTTGTGCTGTGTTCTCTTATCATGTGCTTGTGAGCAAAGAAATTGAATGAAAGTCTGTTTTGTGGAGAGAACAGGTTTTATTTTGTTTTCTTGGAATATTTATCAATCTGTCCAAACTCACTTGACAGGTAGAATTGACAAGGTCTCATTGCTTTAAAAAAATGACAGTTCACTAACTAGTCTGATTTTCTAATTGTCAGAGTTCAGTTATCTAGACATGCTATTCATCTTTCAGGCAGTAAAACCAAGCTGGTGTGATGACCAAAGAAAGCATAAAACTTCTCTTTTCTTAGACACTTCATAGTTGGTTAGAAAGCATAGTTTTGGCCTTATGGAAGAGGAATGTTATAGACAGTTCTTTCCATACCTTGTAATTGTCAATATGGGACAAGTTTTAAATAATACAAAGACCTAAGCAAAGGAGGAATTTTAAATAAATTATTCTGGTGTGCTGTATGGTTTTAAATTAAAATACAGTTTAACAGTTATATCCATGAGAAGTCCAAATATGGTATTTTGCTCACTTTTTTCTCTCTTTTTATTTTTAAATGTTGTTTTCTCATAGTTCTTGGCAGATTAAACATTTTCATTTCAAAATAGAATGGTTGTAACTCTCGTGCTACTCTTACAAAAACAAATTTTGAGTCTCAGTAGTTTCTATAGGCTGAAACTAATTTCCCAGAAAGGAGGATCAATGTGTCAGGAAGTGACTACAGTGGTCCAAAGAGATTTAAAACTACGGATGCTGCCTTTCTGTCCTGCATTCTTCTCTTGACAGCTCTTGCTTGACCATCAGTGCTGCCATGAGACTCCCTGAAGGGAAGTGTGGCAGGCTCATCTGCTACAGTGGCAGGCGGACTGCAACAGTGTTTTGGTGGGCTCATTTTGGGATGGCTCATGTTGCTGTGAGCATTTTTGCAAGGCAAGGGCTGATTTACAATGCCTTGAACTGCCAGAGAGTTTTACAAGCTGAAGTCTCTCTTGCTGGTAGAGCTGTGGAAAGGTCCTTACCTTATTTCCATTCCCAAGTTGCAGAGGCATGCCACTAACATGCAATACGTGACTGAAAACACATCACTATTGGGCAAGTACTGTGGAGCAGAGCCATAAACTTGTGGTTTGAAGACCTCCACACAGCTCTGAAGCTGTAAGGTAAGGTGTGCTTGGGAATTGCTGAGCCAAGGTCACGGCCCATAGAGCAGGCAGGATGTTGCTAAACTATAGGGTTTATTGCAGTGATCATTTCTGATCAGCTCAGGATTAGTGCATCATAAAGGACATGCAAAGTTGCTATCAACCTGTCCTTTCCCTTAGGCAGTAACTCCTTTTTGATATCCAGAGGTATATACCTAATATAACTTGTTTTTTCTTTTCTTTCCTCTTTTTTTTTTTTTTTTTTTTCTAAATGGGAGTTCAATTTGCTGGTGGCCTCCAGGAAGTGCTGTTGATGTGGGCAGAACATGCTTCACCTTTCATGGCTCCCAATCTATCTCTTTTGTTAACCATAGAAATCAGTTTAAAAAACAGCTGGCATGAGAGTGGGTGGTTTTGGTTGTTTATGGTTTTGGGGATTCTTTTCTCTTGTTGCTTACTTTCCTGATGTACAGGCTGCTAAATTGCTATTTGTTAAGGAAGTTCAAAGGAGGAAGAAGTAAGTTCTGCGTCATTTCAGTTTGCCTTTGTGCTTAGATCTGGTCAGAGCCAGCCAAAATATGGGCAGTCAGAAATGTGAGCAAACATAAAGCAGATATCTAGAAAAGGACTGGGAGCTTTAAAGTCACATTAAAAGTTTGTTATAAACTTCTGCTTTGAAGACTTGCAGTATGACACATGAAAAAAATGTTAACTTCCATTAAAGGCTCTCATGAGATTTGTTACCAAATGTTAGCAAAAATTCGGCAGAACATTTCAAGGGGTACAATCCAGAAGTTCTTATCATGCATTTGATGAAAACATCTTTAAATAGCCTAATTAGTGTAAAGGAGGAAACACTGTACTTGCACCACCAGATTGATATTAAATGCAAATTTGTTTTTTTGTGAGCACCTAGGAAAACAATGACTTGTAATGAGAACTTCATGGAAATATGCGAGAGCAGAAATGGTCTTTGCTTGACAGTCTGTCCAGTGCTCCTAAAGCATATGGAAAGCAAAGGATTAGATGTTTACATTGTCAAACACTAGGAAAAAAATAGCAGTTTATGATCAGTATTCTTAATGGAGTACTATGGGCATCCTGCTATTTCTAACAATACTTATTTTTTGCAAATCTTTCCCCTGGACTGGCTTGCATTCACTAAAGAGTAAATACTCTGCTTTTATATGTATTCTGATATACTTTTGTCTTTCTCCTGTTCATTCTGTAGCCAGTAGCTTGAGAAAGAAGGGTTGTGTGAGTTTAGAAAGAGGAAAATAAGGTTTAAGCAGCAGTAGCACCATGTCTTTTTCTAAAGGCTCTGAAACTCAGTCGTTTGAAACAAATGCCCTGTTTGGGGCCAGCTATGGGAGAGAGCTGTCTCCCCTGCCCAGGCCTGCTCACAAGACAAATGGCTCCATTGTTTCTGTGGTGTGCAAATATCACCAGTCCTGGGAGGTCAGGATTGCACACACACTGAGTGGGTGCTTAAAGGGCTTGGATGAAATACACATAGAAGATTTCCAAGATAAGGAGTCAGTAATGGTAAGACTTGTGTACTCTCTGACTGTGTTTTGGTGGCACAGTAAAAACACAAAGCACTGAGCTTGTGTAAACTTACTCATTCTGCTGGATCAAAATATGTCAAGCTGCTTTCTACCAGTAGGCTTGGTGCCAGATAAGGTATCATTTTTCCCTCCACAGCCAGCCTAAAAAGCTGAGGCTGCCATAAGCCTTCTATCTTTTACAGAAATGCAGCTCTGTTCTCGTGCCCGACGCTCTCAGGTGTGCTGGGGGTGACCTGGTGTAACGAGGGTGTGGAGGCACAGGCTGGGGGACAGCACAGGGCTAGGCTGGGGGACAGCACAGGGCTGGGCTGGGCTGGGCTGAAGTTGGGCTGTGGAGGCTTTCCAGAGGACTCTGCAGCTCTGCAGAACTCTGGGCCTAGGGTGAGGCTGAAGGTAAGCTGTGGATTTTTAATTTGAGTGCTATAAAGGTGATTTTTATTTCCATTTTAAAAGCAGGAGTTGTCATAGGCATAAGGGCTTATCTAGCAGCCAGCAGGCTATCAGATATTACAAAAAGGCACAGTAGTGCTGGTGAGCTGGTGATCTTTGCTTTGGCTGCTGCTGGTGGTGTTCTGCATTAGGCTGAAACAGTTCCTCACAGAAGATCAATGATTCTGGAATTTTGGCAGACTTCTAAGGTTACTTATGTTCCAAATAGAAAATGAAAAGTCTTCCTGATGTGTTTTACATCGCTGCCTGTTGCTCTGACCACGTACTTTGTAATACAGATTTGTGCTGAATTACACAGATGGCTTTTGCTGCGTAGTGTCCTTCATAATTAGCTGTGCTAGAACTGGAGCAAAACCATGCTAAGAAGTTTGGCATCTTAAAATGCCATATAACTACCTTAGATTTTGGAAGGACAGTCTCCACTGCTCACCCCCCACCCTTAACCTTAGGAGAAGAAATACTTCTTTCTGTTGTCCTGTATCTTTTGCAGTGGGACTTCCTCGTTCAGTTGTGTCTACTAGAAATGGCACTTTGCCGATATCTGGGACCATTATTGACTTTTATATTGCAGACAATGAAAAATCACTCACAAACAGACTGCATTGTTATGATGGTTGTTTGGTGTCTGTGTAAAACACAGTTGAATGAGGTTTAGTGACACATCAGTGTCTGCACCCAGCCTGAGACTCTATAGAAAGTAGTTGTGGTGGGGGATCCTTGTCAGAATGAGGCAATCCTAATGACACAGCTGAGTGAACTCTTTTAATTCCACTGCAGAAAAGTGGTTTTTAGGACCTGCTTCTCCCTTATTTGGAAATAGAATTTATCTGACTCAAGGATTCCTACATTGACTGCAACCCTGGGGTAGAGAGGCAGCACCAGAACTGTATGCAGAGTTATATTTTTTGAAATCCTAATTTATCTACATTTTCATATATATCTGCTGATATCTTATTTCTTTAGCCCACCAGAAAGGGCATCTTTACATAATTCTTCTTTCCAGATATGCATTGGAGTATATAATTCTTTCCAATGTGTGTTTTGAGTGAAAGATTAAATCTTTCTCTCTATATAATTTTATCACTCCTGCAGTTTTAATTTATAAGGTCACTGCAGACAGATTTTTTTTTTCTAAGCTGGGTTTTCTAGCCTTTTCTTAAAGGCTTGGAGGAAGAGGAACAACAATTGATGTAAGAGAATGATTGTCATTCCAGTAATGTTGATTCACTTGGCTAATAAGAAGAGCTTATTTCTTTTTTTACTTGGAAAGAATGAATATCAACACATAAATAATCAGCTGGGAACTAGATTTCCAGGAGGAAGAATTTTCCTAGTCACTTTTCTGTTAATTCAAAGCAGTATCTTTATAACTGATGTAACTCACAGCCTTACGATAATCACATTACTTTCCCCTAGGAGTAAACACAGACAAAAGTGCCTGCTTAGTTTCCAAAGCAGAGGAGTGTTGTTGCCTCAGGTACTCAAATTCCTATAGAAAAAAAGCTTTCCATAGCTCTTGTAGCTGTACATACTGAATCTATTGGTGTACCTGGGGAGTTCCATGCCAACTTTGCGAAGTACCACGAACTCTTGTTCAGAAAGACATGGAAAAACAATTTACTGAACAAGACTCCCAAAAGTGCTTTTCTTCAGACAGTCTTTCACCTAGCTAAAGTACACAGGTTTGATGTGCTATAGCTGGAAGAAACTAACCACGTCATATAATTTCTGAACTGGTTTTGCCCTTCTTATCACTCTTGGA